ATGCACTAATCGGCAGCAGTTAGTTCGGGGAGTTTTAATACGAAGCGAATGAATACTAGTAACTAAAGTCGACTGAATTTACTGATAGATATGGCTGGTGATGGCCTGGTGATAACGTCACCAAATTATCACCTCGGAGGTCGTGTGCTCGAACCCAACCACCACCACCGCCTGACTTTCCCCATGGCAGCCCCGTCTGATTAGCCGCTTCCCCTTTCCTGAAAATTGTATCATTGTGTATTCAATAAAAGGAAGTAAAAAAACAAATTAAAAAATATATATATGTGTGTGTGGAAACAATGGGGTTAGAAACAAGTGTTGTTAGATGGATGGAAGAAAGGAATTTGATTCAGGAACTTTCAGGTGTCGTCGATGCCTAAAAGGTGTAGCATGAAGGATTGGAGAAAATGCCATTTACGCGGTTGACCCCGATGGCCTAGTGGTCGACATAAAATCGCTGGTGAATCAGTTCGCTCCAAATCTTTTAAATACTCGAGCAATATTCATGACATAACACGTGAAACAAACAACCTTTGAAAACACTCCCTTTACGAAAGATGAATATTCCCTAATTGCCGAACTGAATTGAAGGACCGACAATAAACAATGAGAACTGTGTTGATACATACCAATTTTATTTCTTCTCTTGACAACATTAAGCCTTGTAAATATCACGTTTTGTACGGATTCGTATGACTGTAACGCATGTTGCGTGCGTGTGTGCGTGCTTTCGTGTGTCCATAGAGCGGACACTCCCAGCCCGTGATACTATTACGGTGCATACGTGATGTTTCCTCGAAATCGAAAGTTCGCGTGTTCTATTCCAGTGTGTGGTCAGTTCTGTTTTACGGTTTCGGGACCCTTAATTTGAGTGTGCAAGATATTCATCGTGTAGAAGTTTTCGATTACCGATGTATGTGTAGTTTGGCATGGATTGGATAGAATGAGTGTGTAACCAACTCTGAGGTAAGTCGTCACGCATTCGGTAATGTACGAAACTATATGGAGGTCATCAGATGACGTGGAAGCGATGCATGAAGAAGTGCACAGAACGATTAGGTAGAATAGGTGTCACCCGTCTTGCAGGTTGGGGACCAAAAGACTCTGAAACTGGTTGGTTGGAGAAACTAAAGGATATGATGGCTGAACGACAACTGCGGCGTTCTCGTTCTCATTTCTTATCAAACCAGCGTGTTTGAAAACGCGTGTATGCACTCATAGGTTGTGTACTCTGTGTGTTGTTCATGGAGATTCACTTACTTTGATTCCATCCAATTAGGCCCAAATCCTCTCCATTTTGTACTTTCTCACTTATTTTGTACACATTGAGGGCTTGGCTACGATCAACGAAGCTCATTCTTCTGTATCTCACTGTACGACGACGATGATGATGATGATGATTGCGAGCAGCGAACTATCGGTTAACAACGTGCTTTGCTTGATATACAAAGTAACTTGAAAATCCAAGTCTATCAGAGGCATGATTTCCGAAGGGAAATGAAGGCGGTATCCAAACTTCCCCCTCTACCAAAGGAATGAATCAATTCACAGTTAACGGACCTTCCCGTCCGTCTCATTGCATGTGTGCAGATAAATCTGCCCCGTGGATAACAAACGAACAATCCGCACTCACTATCACTGCAGCATCACTGGTCTAAAGTCGCAAATTACGTTGTTGTTGTTGTTAGTGTGTGTGTGTGTGTATGTATGTATGTGTGTGTGAACATGTGGACACATGACACTACCTCGTTCCGGTGTATCTGTTACTTGGTGTCAACGGA